GGCAAGGTCGGCTCTCTATTGCTATGTCAGCCAGACTGTGGGCCACTACATCCACGACGAAACGCTGGTGGCTAGACTGTGGGCCTGGATGCCAGCCACCGTCAGAGCGCGTTTGAATGGGTGTAGGAGAGGCCCCGGGATGGCGGTCGAGAGGTTTCTGTCGGACGTAGCTTGGACAGCACTCTGCTGAGCCGGTGCTTCAGGTCCTGGGTCTACCCGGCGCTGGAAGAGGTGTCAGCCCTCCACGATTTGACACGGCTGCACCGCCTGACGAGGCTGCTGGTCCGTTACCGCACAAGGATCACGATTCCGGGGATGTTGTTGCGACAGTCCATTCTGAGCGTGGCGGCAGACGACAGGTGGGCAAGCGGCAAGTGGAGAAGCAGCTGAAGCTCTGAGTCATCCGTCCTTCGAAAAGCGAATGGGCCGCCGCGCCGCACTTCATGAAGAAGAAGACGGGCGACTGGAGGTGCGTTTTGGATTACCGGAGGGTGAACCGAAGCATGACTGCCGACTCGTATCCGCTGCCCCGAATATGGGACCACTTGAGGGCCGCAACAGGCCGTCAGCACTTCACGACTCTGGATATGAACTCGGGATTCTGGAACGTGCCAATAGCGGAGGAGAGCAAGCACCTCACCGCGTTCATCACACCGTTTGGGCTGTTCGAGTTCAATGTCACCCCCTTCGGGCTTAAGAACTCGCCGGCGGAGTTCCAGCGCGCGATGGACATGGTGTTCGAGGAGGTGTTGGACGATCGCACTCTGTGTTACATTGATGATATCATAATCGCGACGGACACGGTGCCGGAGATGATGCAGCGGCTGGAGAAGGTCTTGCGACTGTGCAGAGAGAGGCTTCTACCTCAGGCTAGATAAGAGCGAGTGGCTCAAGCCCGAAGTAAAGTACCTCGGTCACAAGATTGGGTGGCAAGGGATAGCGTGCCAGGAGAGGAAGATAGGCAACGTTCTCAATGCCCCCGCCCCGGCTCAGGGAAGGAACTGCAGAGCTTCCTAGGAGCCGTTGGGTGTCTACGACCCTTCATCCCGCGATTCGCCGAGTACACTGCCCCATGTTCGAGTTGCTCAAGAAGGGCAGGTTGTCCGTCTGGTCGGATGCTCGAGGAAGGCATTCGTGAAGCTGAAGCAGGCGGTAGCCGGTGCGTCG